TTCAAGCTGAACAAGGGCCCCGCCTCTCCGCCGGCGCGAAGGCTGATCCAATCGCTGGCGGGGCGGTTCGCACCGGGGCTGATCGACCTGGGCGAGACGCCCCCGGCCGCGCGCCAGCTGTCAAGGGCCCCATCATCTAAGCTGCGCTTGTAGAGCTGAGCTGCCACCGCCGCGCGCTGGCGGCAGAGGCCCGTCGGGCACGGGCGCGCGGTCTTCGCCCGCGACTCTCCGCTCTCGCTCCGACCCCTCAACTCTAGGCGCGGCAACTCCGCCATCGCGCATCTGCCCGCCGACCCGAAAAACGCCGCCCCAAGGCCGCCAGCTCCCCGAAGTCCCCGATCAGGCGGGTCGGCTTCTTCCAAGGCCCCCCGACGCGGCAGAGGCCCAGGTCGACCGAGACGATTCCCGCCCTCTTCCAGGGGGACATCGCTGGCGGGCGCGCCCACGCGAGGGAGCTCGGCGGGTTCCCCGGCACGAAAGGGGCCCCAATCCGCGAGCACTCGAGCGCCACCTCCACTGCGACGCGGCAAAGAGAGCCGCCGACCAAAACCTGTTGTCGGCAGCTCTGGGAGAGGCCGGTTTGCCCGCGAGGGGCCGCTCGAGATCTCAGTCTCGGCCCCCTGGCCCGCGAGAACGCAGCGCATGGCGGAGCAAGATGAACCATCCAGAGCAAACCTGATCGGAGCTGTTCCAAGAGCCCGGCCAGGATCACGGGCCGCAGCGCGCCCCAGGACGAGCCCCTCTCGACGCCCCAAGGACCCGCCCACGACCCCAGCACCACTTGGACCGCGCTCGAGAGGTTCTCGCCCCCCGAGAAGAGCCCCAGGAAACCCTCCTGATCGACTTTCGCCCGATCAATCTGGCCCTGGAACCCCCACTCCCCCTCGGCCACCGCGGCCCCCGCGATGTCCGCGCGCGCCCATTGAGACGATCCGCCCCTGGGCCGCCGAGCCGCGCGCCTCGGCCCTTGCCTCCTCGACGCTGCCGCCCGCGATGATTGCTCCGAAGCCCCCTTTCGCCGCGTCTACCATGGCGACCTTGCCCCGCCACGCGGCCTCGGCTCTCGAAGAATGCCGACATACTCAACATCGCCATCGGCGTCCCAGATCACCAGAGTTTTCACCTCCTCAGTCTCGTCGAACGAGTGCAGCCCTTTGAAGATCTTGTCTGGCACGGAGAGAGATCGCCCGTTCAAGAGCATGATCCACGCCCAGAGTCCCAGCAGCGACAACACCTCCACTGGCATAGCCCGACCCCGTAGGGCCAGGGCCTCGGCGCGCAGAATGAGGGCCTTCAGCTTTCCTCGGCACGGCCTCAAGATGCAAGGCCCGCTCTCCAGCGTCAAACCCAGCCCCATTCGGCATGCCGTCGCCGATGGCCCCCTTGCGCATTGGGGCGGCTCGCTTCAAGAAGACCGATCGCATGCCCCCCCCCCTAAGATCCAGCAGCTCCGTCTCGCATGAAGATGGAAAGCGATGAAGTCGTCGATGCACAGCGTGAAAAGCACCTCGAAAAGACTGAAGGACGGCGCCGCCGAGCCGCGGGAAATCCCCCGCTTCGGATAGCCCGAAATAGCGAAGAAAGTCTCGGCCAAACATGTATGCGCGATAAAAGACTACCCATGAAAATCCCATCGCGTTCACCTTCGAGCCCAGACCAATCGCGCCCGCCAGGCGCGTCTCCGACGCCCCAGGCGCGTCTCCGACGTCGACGCCCCCGATCCTCGAGAACCTCAGAAACTCGAGCGGCGCGATCTGGCCCAGGTCAAAAAACTCGGCCAGCTGCCTGGGGTTCTAGAGAATATAGAACCAATCGGGCCCGTCCCCATGTGAAACCCTTCCCCCATGCAAGATAACATCGCCCAGCTCAATCAATCCCCAGGCTGCTGGGGGGCCCGGCGACGCCCAGGGAGGGGGCTCGAAGGGGCAGCGCACTTGGCGACAGCCCCACGCCAGCCGAGACGAGTGCACGATCGGCTCTCCGACGGGATCCGCCTCGAACTTCGTGACCACCGTGAAGACCTTGACTAAGGTGCGGGTCATCGCGGCGAAAGTCAACGCCCCGCCCTGTCACGTCCTCGAGGCGAGCTCGTAGCTGGTCGCGGCCATCCCCGAGTTCGGGTCTGAATAGGTCCAGATGGAGTTGCACTCGCTCTAATCCACCTGGCCCCGCGGGAGGAGCACCCCCCCCTCGAAGTCGGACAGGCAGGGGGGCGCGGCCTCCGACAAGCCGGCAGCCTGGATCGGCATCGCCCCCGGCGCACGTGCCGCAAGTTGACTCGCCACCATCGGACGCATGGCCCCCCTGGTCACTGGGGGCACCCCTCTCGAGGCTCGAGGAGGACGACGTCCTGTTTGGCTTCCTGCGCCCGCCCTCGGACATGCAATCCACAGGTGAACTCGCCCTGCCGCCGCCCGCTGGGACCCAACCATCCCGCGAAGCATGTCTCCCCCACAAGTCCTCCACAACCCTCGCGCGCCCGATGCCACGCCCCCCTCAGCTCGTCGGGCCTCAGACTGACCGAGCCCAGATGGCGATTGGAAGGAGCTGGAGGGCGCCAACTACAACGCTGCGGAGCGCCCGTCGAAGCACATGAAAACCACGTCGAGCCCACTCGCGGAGTCGAAGAAACCAACGATCATAACGGAAAAAAGAAGGGCTATGCGCACTGAGAACTTCAGCCACCTAACACTTCTGCGCGGCTCGGCGCGCGCAGCACCCACCTCGCCAGAGACCGCCGCGCACTCTCCGGCGCACCGCCACTCAGCGCCAGGCCTCTCGCGCGCAGCTCCGAGGCGCTGCTGGAGGGCGGCTCGGCGCTTCAATTTCTCAAAGACTTCTTCATCAGAAAGCGCCCCCAGCGGGCAGATCCCCATCCAGCATCAAGTGCTGATCGGCCAAGGTCCAATCCACCTTCGATCCCCGCTTCGCACCGTTATGTGACTTCGGTCTCTGCCACTCCGCGCTGCAACGAACATTCTCGCGCGCTTTCACAATGGCAAGAGGGCGAAGACAACGCAATTTCACCTGCTTGAGGAATTATCAAGTCATCATGCTGACCTCAGAAACAACATCCGATCGAGGATCGACCCCCAGGCGAACACTTCCATGGCGATCGGCGAGCGAGCGAGCGAGCCCTTTGCTGCGGACCCATTCTTCCTGCTCAACCTGGGCAGACCTGTTCCCCACGTAGAGCCTGGAAAGGGCCGTGGGCGCCACCCGCGCGCGTATCCCACCGACCTTCTGGACCACGTCGCTCTGATACTGCTTCAGGGTCTGGAGGAGCTTCTCCTTGGGGCCCCCGCTCTCGTTGGTAAACGCGGAGATCTGGAGGTCCACGTCCGCGGCTGAAGCGCCAGCACCACGGACCTGAACGCGTGGCAGACCCTGCCCGACACCTTGAGGAAGCGCGGCGAGACCCCCGCTCGAGCGCCCGACGCAGGACTAGCATCCTCACGGACGATGGCCTCGCGTTCGTTCAACTTCCCCAACCAATCATCGATCTGCGCACCGTGGTCCTGTGCCGAGGCAGCCGGAGCGGCAGGGCCTGCTGCTGCAGCCTGCGAGCTCGCCGCCGTGGACCACCTCCGCCGTGGATCCTGAGGCACTGTAGGTTGGTCAGCAGCGCCGAGGCCTTCACCGCGAAACTGGGCAAGGCTCTCCTCCAGTGCCTGCTGATTCCTCCAGGTTCGTCATCTGGGTCGGGAACCCCCGTCCCGCGAAACACCTCGCCATCTGAATCTGAGTCGGACCCTGAGTTGTCGCCGCCTAGGATGGCCCCGATCCGCACGAAGAACAGGGCATAGCAGCACAAGAGGAAACCACCGACACACAACATAATGAACTCCAGCTCTCCCGATTCGTGCATCTCCGAGGTATCCGACATGAGCTCCTCGGCGTCTTCCCACATCTCGAAAGCCTGCCGAAGTCTCCTGCGTGCCCAGGAACACCAGGACATGACAGCAAGCCCGCGTGAGACCCGCCAGCTCACGAACAACGCACCTGCAACCAAACCGTAGCGCGCCCGGGTGAAGGCCCAGACGCCTGTGGAAAAGGCGCCGCCCAGAACCCAGGTAGCGATATTGGTCTCGTTGCTGCGGCCCTTTGCCGAACAACTTCTTGGCAGGGAAAGGCTTCGCAGGAGCGGCTGGGGCCGAGCTATGCGCCCTCTCCATGGCAGCTCGCGCGATCGATTTGTCCGAGGCAACGATGTTCCTCTCTTTCATGAAATGGGTAAGCCATGGATGGTCGCTCCAGTGCACTCCGTCTGTCGGCTTCGCCCCGTACTTTTCCCTGCCTCGGAAGTCAAGCGTTTGCACACGGCCCGCCGGGTCAACAACTGTCCAGGACTGTCCCCTGCCAGATGACGACCCCCGACGTGCCGTGCAGCCCCGTCCAATGGCGCGTGGGAGCACCAACGCACATGCACTCGGGCAACCACACGCAGGACGGCCCCACACTCACGCAGACCGCACTCCACCTCAGGGCACAGAACAGAGTTTGGCAAACTAGCACTGCAGCGGGCGACCGGGTGGTCGTGGCGGTTGTGGTCGTGCCTGCGGTCGTGGTGGCGGTCGAGCGTCGAAAAATTGTGTTTGTCGTCGCGATGGTGGTGGTCGCGGCGGTGGTCGCGGGAGTCGTGGTTGTCGTGGTGGGGTTCGTGGCCCCTGGAGGTCGCAGTGGTCTAAGCGGTGGTGTCGGTCGTTCCCTCCCTTTCCTCTTCCTCCTCCCTGCCCTCCTCCTCCTCCTCCTCCTCCTCCTCCTCCTCCTCCTCCTCCTCCTCCTCCTCCTCCTCCCCTTCCTCCTCCTCCTCCTCCTCATCCACTTCCTCTTCTTCCTTTTCCTTATATTTTTTGTTTTCCTCCTCCTCCTTTGCTTTTCCTCTTCCTCCTCCTCCTCCTCCTCCTCCTCCTCCTCCTCCTCCTCCTCCTCCTCCTCGTCCCCCCCCCTTGCCCCCCGAATGGCGCGCCGCCGGGGGGGGAAACCGCCGCCCGCCCGACCGGCCATGGGCGGGGCGCGGGGGCGCCTTGCCATCCTTGCCGCCACCCTGTGCAAAGCAGTGCGCGGGGGACGGGATCAGGCGAAGGGGGGGGGAGGAGGAGGAGGAGGAGGAGGAGGAGGAGGAGGAGGAGGAGGAGGAGGAGGAGGAGGAGGAGGAGGAGGAGGAGGAGGAGGAGGAGCAGGAGGAGGAGGAGGAGGAGGAGGAGAGGAGGAGGAGGAAGAGGAGGGGGGAGAGAGGAGGAGGAGGAGGAGGAGGGAGGAGGAGGAGGAGGAGGAGGAAAAGGAGGACAAGGACGAGGAGGAGGAGGAGAAGGAGGAGGGGGAAGAGGAGGAGGAGGAAGAAGAGGATGAGGAGGAAGAACAAAAGGAGAAGGAGGAGGAGGAGGACGAGGAAAGGGAAGAGGAAAAGGGACAGGAAGAAAAGGATGGAGGAGAGGAAGGACGAGGACGAGGAAAATGAAGGAAAAAGGAGGAGGAACAGGAGGAAGAAGAGGAGGAGAAGGAGAGGAAGAGGAGGAGGAGGATTACAAGTATGAGCAGGAGGAAGGGGGGAGGAAAAAAAAAGAGGAGGAGGAGGAAGAGGAAGAGGAGGAGGGGGAGGAAAAGGAGGAGGAGGAAGAGGAGGAAGAAAAACACGAAGAGGAGGAGGAGGAGAAGAGAGAGGCGGAAGAGGAAGAAAAGGCGGCGGGCGTCGCAGGCAACATAGGTCTAGTTCCAAACGGGCGAATGTATTACATGGGTCAAGTAAAATGTCCGGTCGACAAATGCTAGCCGACGCGGGCCCCAAACAGTAGACTCTTGCACACCACGCGGTGCAATATACATGGTCAACTAAGTGCTCGCAATAGTTGTCAACTCCACTGCTCGCGTAATCATCCCACCCACCCACCCGCAACTTGGTTTGCAAAACGCATGCGGTGGCGATTGCGCTGAATGCTTGGCGTTGGCTGGTGCATCTCTGCGGCCGTGCCAACCCAAGCACGCGCGCGCAGCGGCCGATTAATTTGCCGCGACCGACGCGGCCGCGGTGGCGCTGACCACTGGGCACATCCCAGCGGGCACTTCAGTGCGAGTCGGCGACTTGGGCGGGCGCGGCATCATGTCAACTTCGACAGCGATGGACACGGCGATGCTAGTAGCGATGGTGGTGTGGATGTTGACAACGACGACAAAACGGCCAGTGCGGGCGCCGGTGCTGATCAAGCCGACGGCGATGACGGCGTTCTTGCGTCAGCGATGAAGGTTTTGGAAAGAGTTCGACATGCGCGAGCGGCCGACGCGCGAGATAGCCCCCATGGTTTTATGTGACACGGATCGTGCCCCCCAAGCACGGGCGCAAGGGCGTGCGAATGATGTCGGCATGCGGCGCCAGAAGCTCATTTGACAGAATTCAATGGAATTCCGAAAAACTTATGGAAACTGATGCTGCGAATCCATGTATGTTTGAAAACTTGTTTGACATTCGGTTTTGAAACCGCCACGCAACCTACGGTTTTTGAAGGATTCCAGCATGCGCGTGCGACGGCGCGCGCGCGTAGATTTCGCGCCGTTGTTTCCAAAAGAGTCCCGCGACGGCACGCGCGCAAAGGGCGTTGGAAACGATTTCGACACGCGCGCGCGAAGACCGTTTCGTAGCATGTTCTGGAAATGTTGAGAACCCGTGGCTTTCTTAAGAATTCGAAATTCGCAAGAACGCGCGAGCACGCTATTTTTGAAAATCCGCGTTGCGAGAGCATGTGATTTTAAAGGTTATGTGGACACTCGGTTTGGGAATCCTTTCGAAACCGAAGGACGTCGGCATGCGCGCGCGAAGACGCGCGCTTTAGCACTTCGTCTCATTCCTTGCAAGGGATTCATGATACCTGCTAATTTTTAAACACGAATGTGCGCACACAATATTGGGTGCAGAAAATGAAGGGGGAGGGGTCGAACCTGGCTGGGCCGGGGTGGTACGAGTGCAGATTTAGAAAGGACGACGGGGCAGAACCATATGTAAATTGCAACACAAAAAGGGGCGCCGAAAAGCCAGGGGGGTCCTAATTCCCTACCTAGGCTCTGCCTAGAGGGTTCTTAGTCTATTTCTTAAAGGGGCCAGGCAGTGGAAATCGCCCCGGGCGGCCCCCCCGGCATCCGCCCCGCGGACCCCCCAGTTTCGTCCCTTAGCTTAGCGTTGCTTATCTCATCTTCGCTAAGCTTATGTCATCTTAGCTTAGCTTCATCTTAGCTCAGGTTTATCTTAGCTTAGCCTACCTTCATCTTAGCATGGGTGTAATGCCCTACCTAGGCTCTGCCTAAGAGGGCTAGCTTACCTTAGCTTAGCTTAGCCTAGCCTAGCTTAGCTTAGCTTCAGCTTTAGCATAGCGCAGCGCTGCATTAGCATAGCATAGCATCGCATAACAAAGCATAGCATAGCGCAGCTTAGCATAGCACAGCACAGCACAGCATAGCTCCGTATAGCACAGCGAAGCATGACATAGCATAGCTTAGCATAGCATAGCATCGCATATCATATCGCAGCATAGCATAGCCTAGCCTAGCCTAGCATAGCATAGCGCAGCATCGCATGGCATAGCATAGCATAGCATAGCAACTAACGCTGCTTTCCTAGGGGCTCCAACTTCTAGGTCGGGTCGCACTGGGGTATTTTTTCTTACACCAGAAAGTTGGCTACCCTGCGCCGCGCTTGACCACCTCTACTGATCGCGAAATCACCCACCAACCCACCCGCAACCAGGTTTGCAAAACCCACGCGGTGGCGATTGCGATAAGCGTTTGACGTTGGCTGGTCGATTTCTGCGGCCGTGCCAACCCAAGCACGCGCGCGCAGCGGCCAGCTAGTTTGGCGCGACCGATGCGGCCGCGGCGGCGCTGACCTCTGGGCACATCCCAGCTGGCGTTTCAGTGCGGGTCGGCGACTTGGGCGGGCGTGGTATCATGTCAACGTCGACATCGGTGGACGCAGCGATGCCAGTAGCGATGTGAGCAACGACGACGGCGCGGCCAGCGCGGGCGCCGATGCTGATCACGCCGGCGACGATGACGGCGTCCTCGCGTCGGTGATGAAGTTTTGGAAAAGGGCTCGACATGCGCGCGCGGCCGACGCGCGAGCGGCCCGCGCCGCATCGCGCGACGCGGATCGTACCCCCCCCCAGCGCGCGCATGGGCGCGCGACTGATGTCGGCCTGCGGCACGAGAGGCCCTTTTGGCAGAATTCCATAAACATGTTGTAAAACCTATGGTTTTCTGAAGAGCTCGCAAGAGCGCGAGCACATGTTTTTATTTTGTGGAAAACGGATGTTGCGAAACCATGTGTTTCAAATGTGTGTTGGACACTCGATTTTGAAATCGCTACGACACCGAAAATGCTCGACTGATTACGGCACGCGCGCGACGACACGGGCGCGTGCACTTCGTTTAATCGGTCGCAAAGGATTCTCGCGACGGCACGCGCGCAGGGGATTTCGAACGATTTCGACATGCGCGCAAGAGAAGCCAGTCTGGTGGCATTTTCTGAAATGTTGGAAACGCACATTCGCAAGAACGCACGCGCACGCATTTTCTGAAGAGCCGCGTTGCGAAACTATGTGTTTGTATGTGTGTTTTGGCGACTCGATTTTCAAATCCTGACGACGTCGATGGTTCATGAAAGATTTCGAAATGCGCGGGCGACGACGCGCGCGCGTGCACTTCGTCTCATCTAATGCAAGAGGTTCTCGACAACCTATGATTTGTGATAAACGAGTGTGCGCGGAATACATATGTTGCAGAGGATGGCGGGGGGGGGCCGATGCCGGCCTGACTGGGGCGGTATGAATTCATACATATATATATATAGAATCGGTGATGGGGCAGAATCATAAAGAAAAAAAATGCAATATGAAGAGGGTGACCGATAATCTGGGGAAGCGGTCGACCAATGCTCAACTTGAAATCGCCCACTCCACTGCTCGCGCAAAAATCCCACCCACCCGCAACTTGGTTTGCGAAACCCATGCGGCGGCGATTACGACGAGTGCGCGGCGCAGTCAGGTGCCTCTCTGCGGCCGCGACAGCCCGCGAACGCTCGCGCGCGCAGCGGCCAGCTAGATTGGCGCGACCGACGCGGCCGCGGCGGCGCTGACCTCTGGGCACATCCCAGCTGGTATCACTGCGAGTCGGCGACTTGGGCGGACGCGGTATCATGGCAACGTCGACAACGCTAGACACGGTGATTATAGTTGCGACGCAGGCGGCGATGTTGACAACGACGAAGGCGCGGCCAGAGCGGGCGCCGATGCTGACCACGGCGACGACAATAACGGCGCCCCCGCGTCGGCGATGAAGGTTTTGGAAAGAGTTCCACATGCGCGCGCGGCCGACGCGCGAGTGGCCCTCGCGGTACCATTTGACGCGGATCGCGCCCCCCCCCCCCCCCCAGCGCGCATGGGCGCGCGGATGATGTCGGCCTGCGGCGCGAGAAGCCTGATTGGTAGAATTGTAAGTGTTGAAAAACCGAAGGCTTTCAAGAATTCGCAAGAGCGCGAGCGCGCGCTGTTTTGAAAACTGCTTTTGCGAATCACGTGTTTCGTGTGTGTGTTTTTTTAAACGCGCAGAAAATCCTCGAAGGTTCTCTCTAGATTTCGGACGCGCGCGCGACGACGCGCGCGTGCACTTTGGCTAATTTTTGCGCAGAAAAGGATTCTCGCGACGGCGCGCGCGCAAGGGCGTTCGAACGAGTTTGACGCGCGCGCGAAACCCGTTGGGTCGCATTTGCGAGCGCGCTGTGAGACCAATGGTTTTCTGCCGGCAAGACCGCGCGCGCAAGCCAAGCTTGTCTTGAAAATCAGCGTTGCGAAACCTTTCTTTGTGCAATGGATGCTCGATTTCCCATATTCCTTACACGTTGGTTTGGGAAAGATTTGGGCATGCGCGCGCGACGACGCGCGCGCGTGCACTTCGTCCCTTTTTTTGAACCGGATTTTTGCAAACAGATGATTTTTGGTAGACGAGTGCGCGCGCATACTGCTTTTTGCAAAGGATGGCGTGGGGGGCGATACCGGCTTGACC